AATTTGGATATAGCTCCCATATATATCTTTATCCGATTCCAAATTAATTGTGTACCAAATGGGCAATACAAGTCCGAATTTAAGAGATACAAATGCTTCGGCATATTTAGTCCTTTGAACTTTAAATTATAATTATAATCATAGCGTGTATGATTGAATTCTCCCATAAAAACTTTTAATTGTTATGCGCAGCTCTACTAAATTAGCAAAGTGGTGTAGGGTATCATAAAGTCGGCCCGCCCGACTTTAGGACTTTCTTTACTGGTTTAAATTTTATTGAATGAAAGCAAAAAATGTAGGAAATTGCATCAAATTTGACACTCTTCAAACGGCTAATGGAACCGTCACACGTTGTCCGAATGTTGCTCTGCGGTGTTTTGACCCATTCACGGCGAAGTGCTTGCTTGAGGTGATCGACACTTGATGAAGCGTGAAGGTGATGAAGCGAGGATCTTTATTTTGTAACCATTCTTGGGTGGCGCGTGCTGAGTGCGATGGTGCTGAGTCCTGTTGGAATTTCCATGGTCTTCGGCCAAAATGTTTGCGTGCCCAAGGCTTTAATACACCCTCCAGAATATTTTTGCGATAATATTCGGCATTTATTCTGGTGCCACGATCGATAAATATGAGCGACCATCGGCTGTTATGGCGGCCTACACCATCACCATGGCAGGCGCTTGAGTAAACACGATAATTTTGTTTGTTTGCAAACTGTTGGACAACGAATGTTTTCTCATCGGAGAAAACCAAATACGGCAGTTCACCACTTTCGACCAAGCGAAGCAAGTCTTTAGCTCTTTTGAGTCTATTTTCTTTCATTCAAATTCAGTTCAGAATTTCAATGGCTTTGTCCTGAGCTCATTTTTCAATATTTGCCGAATGGGATATTGCGATATGTTCAGCTCACGAGCCATTTTTCGGCCACTGCGACGCGGTTTACGATCAAGTCGCTTTTTTACTTTTCGAACCATTTCTGCTGATGTTGTTGTTTTCTTCCGTCCACTTCCTTGACGTTGGGCTACGCCACCAGTATCACGGTAACGAGCGATAGTACGAGACACAAACGATTTATTCACAATTAAATGCTGGAGTGCTTTAACGATAGCCACTTGTGGTTTTCCAGCCATATATAAAGAAATCACACTATCACGCTTGAATTCCATCCCCAATAACTTTTTTTCTGGAAAATTCTCACCAAAATGCTTTTGTACGCCTGTAAACAATATAATGAGTTGTCACTGGAATAATTTTAACAGCTGTCGGACGAGTGGCTTAGAAATGACAGCAGTCTGAAGTTTGTTGCACTTTTTTCATCTCACCCTGCATATAGTTAATTTTAAGGAAGAACACCGCAAAGTTGAACTCTGTTTCCTCATTACCAAATAATAGGTAAACTCGACATTGGGTATACTTTGTGAAGAGATCGTATGTACCCACTGAGAAACTATAACAACAAAGTTATTTGTTTTTTTCTTCTTTATATTGGAGAAATAGACCTAGACCTATAGACCTACACTGGAAGCTAGGAAGGATTCTATCTCTTGAGAAATCGAAATGTCGAATCACAGATAATGGGGCGAGTAGACTTGGCTGGCTTTAGTCTGTCTTCCCTTTCTGTATCTTTATTGGTCGGGATCTACAAATATTCTGTTCTTTGGTCTAAATGGTATGGTGAGAGGATTTAAAATATATCTGTATTTAAGCAAAAGTATAATACCCTCTCTACAAAGTATTGAAACTAAGTAAATAATACATTTATATACAAGTATTGCAAATTCCCATGCCGTTTACAGCTTTTGTGTTTTTTTTCTTTTCTCTTTTCATTTGCACTTCATAAAATGCGTTTATTTAAGAACTTGTTCAATTTTATGTGACCATAAAGTTGAACAAGTCGCCGCTGTGCACCAGTCGTACGCGTAACAGTAGAATGCGAAACAACAACGAACAGACACCAGGGTGTAAAATTCATTTCCGTTGAAAACAACAAGAACTACAACAACAACAAGTGATTGACTGTCAAACAATTTTCTATTTAAACTTGTTCTCCTTCTCTGCCTCCATCTATCTCCTCTTGCAATCATCGTATTAATAAAAACGCCTTGGGTATTAAATTTTTTTTTAAATCAAGGATTTTTTGTTGTTAACTTGAACTGAACAACGCGCCGAGCAACGAAATTCTAATATTTGTTTTTTGTTTTTTGCTTTTGCTCTAACATCAAAAACATAACTGAAAAACCATAACAATTTTCCTAAAGTCAGCCACCGAGCAACCTATAAACCAAGAGTGGCATAACCGTATTAGCAAACCGTAAAGCCGCTACTTCATACATGCATGTCGGCGGCATGCCAGTCAGCCATCCACTCCATCGTCCGTCGCCGTGGAGGTAACAGAAGTTTTGAACAAGTAACGAGATGTGGTATAAAAAGTTAGAACTCTGTATAAATTATTCGTAGCATTATAAAAACGTTAAAAAGTTTTGCAGAAAACCACGCAAAACACACCAACATCACGACCACCACAAGCACAAACAAGAACACATCGTGTGTAGTAGGGGGTGTGATGTGCGTATGTATTTTAAATATTTAGATGTATGCATTTTGAAATGTTGTAAGGAGTTCCAGGAGGTGGGACATCTTGGAGGAGCACCAATTTAACATTGTATATATTGTAAAAGCTAATGTTTTTTTCTTTTTCGGATAACATTTTCTGTACGAAAACCTTATACAAAAAAAAAAAAAAAAAAAAAAAAAAAAAAAAACAATTTTAAAAACATAATCCGGATAACTTTTTTTATACGAAATTGGCATCAGGAAAACATTTTCTATACGAAAACATTATCCGAATAATATTTTCTCTACGAAATCGTTATCCGGATAACATTTTTTGTACGAAATCGTTATCCGGATAACATTTTCCATATGAAAACATTATCCGGATAAAATTTTCTATAACAAAACATTACCCGGAAAACATTTTTTTATACGAAAACATTATCCGAATAATATTTTCTGTATGATAACATTATCCGGATAAAGTTTTCTATACAAAACCATTCTCCGGATAACATTTTCTATACGAAATCGTTATCCGGATAATATTTTCTACACGAAACCATTACCCGGGTAATATTTCCTATACGAAACCGTTACCCGGATAACATTTTCTATATCAAATCGTTATCCGGATAGCATTTTCTACATGAAATCGTTATCCGGATAACATTTTCCATATGAAAACATTATCCGGATAAACTTTTCTATAACAAAACATTATCCGGAAAACATTTTTTATATGAAAACATTATCCGAATAATATTTTCTATATGAAAACATTACACGGATAAAGTTTTCTATACAAAACCATTCTCCGGATAACATTTTCTATACGAAATCGTTATCCGGATAATATTTTCTACACGAAACCATTACCCGGATAATATTTCCTATACGAAATCGTTACCCGGATAACATTTTCTATACATTAAGCGGATAACATTTTCTACACGAAGACATTATCCGGATAAAATGTTCTATACGAAGACATTATCCGGATAACATTTTCTATACGAAAACATTGTCCGGATAACATTTTCTATACGAAAACATTATCCGAATAACATTTTTTAAACGGAAAAATTATCAGGATAACCTTTACTATACGAAGACATTATCCGGATAAAATGTTCTATAGGAAGACATTATCCGGATAAAATGTTCTATACGAAGACATTATCCGGATAAAATGTTCTATACGAAGACATTATCCGTATAACATTTTCTATACGAAGACATTATCCGGATAACATTTTCTATACGAAGACATTATCCGGATAACATTTTCTATACGAACACATTATCCGGATAACACTTGCTATACGAAACATTATCCGGATAACAATTGCTATACGAAAACATTATCCGGATAACATTTTCTATACGAAAACATTATCCGGATTAAATTTTCTACACTAAAACATTAGCCGGATTAAATTTTCTACACGAAAATATAATCCGGATAACATTTTCTATACGAAAACATTATTCGGATAATATTTTCTACACAAAAACAATATCCGGATAACATTTTCCAAACGGAAACATTATCCGGATAAAATTTTCTATACGAAGACAATATTCGGATAACATTTTCTATACGAAAACATTATCCGGATAACATTTTCTATACGAAAACATTATCCGGATAACATTTTCTATACGAAAACATTATCCGGATTAAATTTTCTACACTAAAACATTAGCCGGATTAAATTTTCTACACGAAAATATAATCCGGATAACATTTTCTATACGAAAACATTATCCGGATAATATTTTCTACACAAAAACAATATCCGGATAAAATTTTCTATACGAAGACAATATTCGGATAACATTTTCTATACGAAAACATTATCCGGATAACATTTTCTATAAATAATTAATTTCGTTTTTATAAAAACTTTTATCATTCGATGTGCATTTTTATGTTACTTCATCGATTATAATTACGAACAAAAATGCTAAAAAGCTATTTTGAAAAAAGCTCAACTTTTTAAAACTACTCTTAAAATGAAAACAAATTAACAACCGTTAATGGAAACTTTTTAATGGCACACTAATCTTTCGAAGTGTTATTAGTACCTTCAATGCAGCGACTTACTTTAAAGGCCAAAAGAACAAGGGGCAAGAGGAAAATAATAACAATCACTGGACAAGTAAATGCAAAAAAATCCTAGGTAAACTGTTTACAAAACTTCTGTCAACATTCTGGCCAAGGCACATTGAGTGTGGCCATTAGTATGCGGCAGCAGTAGGGCCATTGCTTGTTTACTTAAAATTTAAATAATTTGTCTCGAAAAGCTAGGCAAATTTTCAAAGAATAAAGTAGCGTAAGAAACAATAAAAACCCAAATGTTGTGTTTTTTGTTTTGTCTTCTTGAACACTTGTCTGCAGTAACATTTTGTTTTAAATTTTCTTCGTTTTTTTTGCATTTTTCCAGGCAACCTTCGGATCGTAAGAAGGAGCACATCAAACGTCCAATGAACGCATTTATGGTTTGGGCCCAGGCGGCTAGACGTGTTATGTCTCAACAACATCCACATTTGCAAAATTCCGAATTAAGCAAATCTCTGGGAAAATTATGGAAGTAAGTAAAAAACGTAGCTACACACACACAAAAATTTCCACACAAACACTCTGCCATATGCATGTAATAATCATAATCATTAATGACAAGTGGTCCCACTTGAACAATCTCAAATAATTATTATTATCCACATGTAAATCGGTCTAATATATAAGGAAAATTGGCAGCCACATTGTAATTCAGAAATCGTTTTTTGTCATCGTCAATTTCTAAAATATTCATGAAAGTCGAAAGTAAAAATATGAAAACTAAGGCAGATTAATACTAGGATTAATACAAAAACATTATCCGGATAACATTTTCTATACAAAAACATTATCCGGATAACATTTTTCTATACGAGAACATTATCCGGATAACATTTTCTTTACGAAAACATTATCCTGAAGGCAAGAGCGTATGCCTATGATATAGAGTACTGGAAGGAATTAAGTGGCACAACATAGTAATTCAGCGATTGATTTGAGATGGATAGTCAATCATATAGCGGAATTTACACTAGATTATGTACAAAAAATACAAAATAGTACAATATTGCAATTGGGTATTGGAATGGAGTTTCAGGTTTGAAATTGTGCATTAGGTTGATTCCTGGCGAAAAGTGTTTAAAAAAGACTAGATTGGAAATCAAGTGTGAATACTTAATAGGATACGAATAGTATTTAATGGTAACATTTTTATCGATAACTAGTCAACATTTTTCCCTTTTGTATGAGGGTAATTTCTGGATGAGAGAGCGCCATAAAGAAAACAAGTAAATAAGAAGAAGAACTAACATTTAATTGAAAATCGTTATATGGGGGATATACGTAAACGTGAAACTGCATACGACAATTTTGACATAGGCCTTAGTACCTATTACGAACTTTAAATACGAAATTTTAAATAATTCCGCTGAATAATGTCGCTAAAGTCATCAAAATACCTAATAGGGAGGTACCGTTGTATAGGGGCTATACGAAGACGTGGACCTGCATACGAAAATTTGTGCATTGATTGTAGTACCCTTTAAGACCTTCCAATACGAAATTTGAAATAATTTCGGTAAATAATGTCGCTAAAATCATGAAAATACCGAATATCGGGAGGCACCGTTATATGGTGGCTATATGAAGACGAGGACCTGCATACAAAAATTTTTGTCATAGGCTGTAGTACCTATTACGAATTTCAAATACGATATTTAAAAGATAGCGTGATTGCAACAGGCAGACGGACATTGTTTGATCTTAGAATTTTACGCTGATCCAGAATATATATTTTATAGGGTCAATTATGAATATTTCGGGAGTTACAAACGGAGTGACAAAGCCCTCCATAGAACGGTGGAGGGTATGAAAATTATACAACATTGTTATCCTTTATTCGAATGTTGCTCTGCGGTATTTTGACCCATTCCCGGCAAAGCGCTTGCTTGAGGTGATCGACACTTTGGTATTTTTAGTGCCAACCTTGCTTTTCACAATACTCCAGACACATTAGTCTAACGGATTGGTATCCGGAGATTTTGGTGGCCATTGTGCACTGGAAATGAAGCGAGGAAACTCATGTTGTAACCATTCTTGGGTGGCGCGTGCTGAGAGCGAAGGTGCTGAGTTCTGTTTGAATTTTCAAGGTCTGCGGCCAAAATGTCTGCGTGTCCAAGGCTTTAATACAATCTCCAAAATATTTTCGCGGTATTATTCGGTATTTATTTTGATGCCACGGTCGATTTATACGAGCGGACAGCGACTATCAGCTGTTATGGCGGCATACACCATCACCATGGCCGGGGCTTGAGTTCTGGTGGTCAACCGAAGGTGTACATTTTCAGCTGACCTCTTTGGCAAGTAAAGACGATCGTTTTGTTTATTTACAAACTGCTGGACAACGATTTTTTTCTCATCGGCAGTTAACCACGTTCGGCCAAGCGAAGCAACTCTTTAGCTGTTTGAGTCTACTTTCTTTCTGTTGCGGTGAAAGTTCTGCACTTCTTGGAATTTCAATAGCTTTACCCGGAGCTCATTTTTCAATATTTGCCGAATGGAATATTGTGATATGTTCAGCGCACGAGCCATTTTTCGGCCACTGCCACGCGGTTTTCGATCAAGTCGCTTCTTTACTTTTCGAACCATTTCTGCTGACGTTGCTGTTTTCTTCCGATCACTTCCTTGACGTCGGGCTACGGTTCCCGTATCACGATAACGAGCGATGGTACGAGACACAAAAGATTTACTCACGTTTAAATGCTGGAGTGCTCTTACGACAGTTACTTGTGGTTTTCCTGTCAAAAATATAAAGAAATCACACTATCACGCTTGAATTCCATAACGAATAACTTTTTTGCTGGAAAATTCTCACCAAAATGCTTTTGTACGCTTGTAAACAATATAATGAGCTGTCACTGAAATAATTTTAACATCTGTCGGACTAGTGGCTTAGAAATGACAGCAGTCTGAAGTTAGTTGCAGTTTTTACATCTAACCCTGTATATTCATAATCAGCACAAAATTCTAAGTCGATTTGACGATGTCCATCTGTTTGTTTGTCCGTCTGTTGAAATCACGATACACATTATTTGACGTAGAGCTTACAAATTTAACAGAACAATTTGTATTGTGTCTAGGATGGTTTTTTATACCCTACACCACAAGGTGGTCAGGGTATTATGTCTTTGTGCATTTGTTTGTAACAGGTAAAAGGAAACGAGATAGACCCATAGTTTCTTTTGATGATATGCATAGAATCACATTCTGAGTCGAATTATGAATGTCCGTCCGTCCGTCCGTCTGTCCATGTATTTTTGTAAACAAAGTACAGCTCGCATTTATTGTCCTATCCAGATGAAATTTTGCACAAATCATTTGTTTGAACCAAGGACAAACCCTATTGAAATTGGAGAAAATCGGTCAAAATTTAGATATAGCTCCCATATATATCTTCGTCCGATTTGCCTTTTATTGTGCACCAAACGTGTAATATCAGTCCGAATTGTATGAAATTTTGCACGTACTATCAGATTGGACCTGAAAAAAGTATGCCAAATTTGATCGAAATCGGTTCAGATATAGCTATAGCTCCCATATATATTGTTCATCCGATTTGCCATTTTTGTCCTCCGCAGCCGTAATATGCACCCTGTAACAACAATATTTGGGGAAATATATCAAATACAGCCCAGAAATACATTTGCTAAATTTTATCGAGATCGGTTCAGATTTGGATATAGCTCTCATATATAACTTCGTCCGATTTATCTTTGATTGTGCAACAAACGTCTAATATTTGGCCAAATTGGATGAAATTTGGCACTAACGACTGAATTGAGTCTAGAAGCTAGTATGTCAAATTTGGTAAAAATCGGTTCAGATATAGCTATAGCTCCCATATATACTGTTCATCCGATTTCTCATATTCGTTACCCACAGCCGTAATATGCACTCCAACGAGTGCATACCCACGATATTCAGGGAAATATATCAAATACAGCTCAGAAATATCTTTGCCAAATTTTATCGAGATCGGTTCCGATTTGGATATAGCTCCCATGTATATTTTTATCCGATTTTATCAAATTAATTGTGCACCAAATGGGCAATACAAATGCTTCGGCATGTTAAGTTTTTTGAACTTTAAATTATAATCATAGCGTGTATGATTGAATTCTCCCATAAAAACTTTAAATTGTTATGCGCAGCTCTACTAAATTAGCAAAGTGGTGTAGGGTATCATAAAGTCGGCCCGGCCGACTTTAAGACTTTCTTTACTGTTTTTTTTTTTTTTTTATTGAAAATGAGATATATCGGTCCACGTTTTGGAATAGTCGCCAAATAACGGTACCTCCTGATATTCGTTATTTTGATGATTTTCGTCCCATGTTTAAAAATTGGTATTTGCAGGATTTGGACTTGTCTAAAAATTGGTATTTGTAGTTCATAATGGGTTCTAGCTCCGGTGGCGATATATTGTGTATATAGGTTCACGTTTTGATATAGCCCCCATATAACGATACCCCTCGATATTAGGTGTTTTATGATTGGTATTTGTAGGTCATAATGGGTGGCGAAACATTGTAAGTATAGGTCTACGTTTTTGTTGCAAAATGATTTGGCTTAATCCCTTTATCGTTGTTTTTATAGAAACAACGTTTGTTTATTATTGGAGAAAAATGTTTTCTATACCCACAGGGCCGGCCGAACTTCATGTTTTTTACTTGTTATTTATTTTACTTTGTATTCTTGTGAAAAGCATTATAACGCAGTATTGATATTCAACTGAAACCGATAATAAACAACTGCATTACTAGTTAATATTCCATCGGAATTAATTTAAAAATCTTATTCTCTGAACTAAAACCTCGTATCATAATTTTTAATTAATTTTCCTCCGGCTTTTGATGTTAAAAATCGCACAAGCAAAAAAACCGAATACAAATAATTATTTGTTTTGTTCGCATTATAATAGATCAGTTGTTTTATTTGATTTCATTTTTTTCCTCTCTTTAGCCTTTGTTAATTTAAATATATTGAATAAAAATAAGTGCAAACAAATTTGTATAAAAAAACACAGAATGCTAGAAAAATTTCATGGTTCATTTGTAGTTTCGCATTGATAAGGGAAAGACAATTTCATGATTAATGCCTCTCTGTACACAGACGGAATCAACGGAATTGTCATGGATGGATGATTATTTATTTTTTTTTTTTTTTTTGGTTGTTTCACTGATAAGCATTTTGTATTATTCTGATTAAATTCTTGGTTATGTTAGACTCAGCAGCGGGTGTAAACCTCAAATGAATTTGAATAGCATTTATATGGAATAGGTGGGTGTTTAAAGAAGCATTGAACTTTCAGGGCTAAAGTACAGAATTATTGCCAAATTATTAAGATTTTTATTTTTTTTGAAATGAACTGTGCTAAGAAACGTTGAGTTTCCAAGGAGTGGTATAAGCAACCTTATATGGATTTTAGATTTATTTAGAATTTTATTTAGTCGTATTGAACCTAAAGAACGCACATACTTTATTTCAGCGAACACAAATCTGTGCTTAGCTCAAATACATCATGCTAATAAAAACTCGTGAGCATTTGAATTCACCTTTTCATGGAAATTGTCATAGAAAATATTCTTCAAATTGGTAATATTTTTAAAGGGGATATTAGTAATTCTTCATTCGTAGCGTTGAACTAATTCCACAAAATTTGAAAAGTGAAAACTGTTGCCAGCAAGTTTTTTTATAAGTAATTTTTTTTTACATAAAAATATTAGCCGTTCTAAGTTCAATGACATTGACAGTAGATGTCAAAGATTGTTATATCAACTTTGAGAAATCGTAAATGAATTACTTGCAATTTTGAATTTATTATTGACATTTTCGAGTGGACATATTAATAAAACTGATTGATATATTAATATATCATATTTAAGAACTAGGCCAATGACAATAAATCATAAACAGCGATATATGTGCTATAGACCGAAATATTATGTAGTAATGATATTCGACAGTGCCAACTTCAATGCCATTTCTGATTCCTAGAACCTTATCACTTAAGGTCTACGAAGAGTTACACTGATGCTAGAAGGGCATCGCCATATTTAAATGAGTGAAAGTTTTAGTTGCCTAATCCTACACCACTTTGAATATTTTGTTTGGTTAATACCCGTAACCAATAATATTTCACCAGGTAAATGTGACATTGAATGGACAAGTGCTCTGTTCACCTGCTGACCACTAACAGATGCCTTATTTGAAAGTAAAGAAAGTTTTTCGGCCCCGCCCGACTTTATGATACCCTACACCACTTTGCTAATTTAGTAGAGCTCCGCATAAAAATTAAAATTTTTTATGGGAGAATTCAATCATACACGCTATGACTATAATTATAATTTAAAGTTCAAAGGACTAAATATGCCGAAGCATTTGCATCTTTTAAATTCGGACTTGTATTGCCCATTTGGTGCACAATTAATTTGAAATCGGATAAAAATATATATGGGAGCTATATCCAAATCGGAACCGATCTCGATAAAATTTGGCAAATATATTTCTGAGCTGCATTTGATATATTTCCCTGAATATCGTTGTTACGGAGTGCATATTACGGCTGTGGGTAACAAATATAACAAATCGGATGAACAGTATTTATGGGAGCTATAGCTATATCCGAACCGATCTTCACCAAATTTGGCGTACTAGCTTCTAGACTCAATTCGGTCGTAAGTGCCAAATTTCATCCCATTTGGGCAAATATTAATCGTTTGATGCACAATCAAAGGTAAATCGGACGAAGTTATATATGGGAGCTATATCCTAATCTGAACCGATCTCGATAAAATTTATCAAATGTATTACTAAGCTGTATTTGATATTTTCCCCCAAATATTGTTGTTACAAACTGCATATTACGGTTGCGGATGACAAAAATAACAAATCGGATGAACAATATATATGGGATCTATTGCTATATCTGAACTGATTTCGATTTGAAATACTTATTTTCAGGTCCAATCTGATCGTACGTGCAAAATTTCATACTATTCGGACTGATATTACACGTTTGGTGCACAATTAAAAGCAAATCGGACGAAGATGTATATGGGAGCTATATCTAAATTTTGACCGATTATCTCCAATTTCAATAGGGTTCGTCCTTGGGCCAAACAAATGATTTTTGCAAAATTTCATCTGGATAGGGCAATAAATGCGAACTGTACTTTGTTTACAAAAATACATGGACAGACGGACGGACGGACAGACAGACGGACAGACGGACGGACATGCATAAATCGACTCAGAATGTAATTCTATGCAGATCATCAAAAGGAACTATGGGTCTATCTCGTTTATTTTTGCCTGTTACAAACAAATGCAGAAAGACATAATACCCTGACCACCTTGTGGTGTAGGGTATAATTAAAACTTCATAGTACGAAAGAAGTGAGATTTCAGAAATTAGAGAAAAAAACGAAGGGCTTTTTACATGTTAACAACTCAAAAACCAGCTAAGTTCGGCCGGGCCGAACTTTTTATACCGTTTATCATTAGGAAGAAACTTGAACGTACAAAATCATTTTAGTGAGAATTTTCCACAAAAAAAGTTATTCGTGATGGAATTCAAGCGTGATTGTGTGATTTCTTTATATTAGGTTGGAGCACTCCAGCATTTAAATGCGAATAAATTTTTTGTGTCTTCTACCATCGCTCGGTACCGTGATACTGGTAGCGTAGCCCGACATCACGGAAGTGGACAGAAGAAAACAGCAACATCAGCAGAAATGGTTCAAAAAGTAAAAAAGGGACTGGATCGAAACTCTCGTCGCAGTGGCCGAAAAATGGCTCGTGAGCTGAACATATCGTAATGTTCCATTCGGCAAATATTGAAAAATGAGCTCGGGGTAAAGCCTTCAGTTGACCATCAGAAACCAAGCGCCGGCCATGGTGATTGTGTGAGCCGCCATAACAGCAGATGGCCGCTCTTCGCTCGTATTAATCTACCATGGCATCAGAATAAATGCCGAATATTATAGCGAAAATATTCTGGAGGGTGTATTAAAGCTTTGGGCTCGCAAACACTTTGGCCGCAGACCTTGGACATTCCAACAGGTCTCGCGCCACCCAATAATGGTTACAAATTGAGGTTCCTCGCTTCATTTTCAGCGCACAATGGCCACGAAAATCTCTGGATACCAATCCGTTTGACTATTATGTCTGGAGTATTTTAGAAAGGAAGGTTGGCACCAAAGCGCTTTGCCGGGAATGGTCCAAAGTACCGTGAGCAACATTCGGGCAGCGTGTGATGGTTTCACTGGCCGTTTGAAGGCCATAATTCGCCAAAGGTGACCAATTCGAACAAATCTACATTTATTGTAAAACTGGATGCTATATCCGACATTTTTGCTTTCATTCAATAAAATTAAAAAAATGTTAAAATTATGGCGTTTAACTTTGTTGCAGTTTTTTTTATCTCACCTTGTAAAAAGATGTATCGGTTTTCACATTTTTCGTCTATCCAAAAAAAAAAAAACAATATTTTTTGAATACAAAACTGTAGAACCTAAGATGTTTTTTTTTATAAAAAAATGCAATATGGTTGAGTATCCGTCTCTTCTTGAGAAACATATTTTTATGATACCTTACATACATTAAGTTTTCTACAAAATTCTTTTTCTTTCGTACAATTTTTGTGTACTTATTTTATCAACTTTTTAGTTTGTGTTTTTCTCTTTTCATTGTAAATTCTCTTTGGTTTCTCTTACTACTTTAAAAGCTACAAATTATTAATATTCTGTATTTTTTCCACCTCCTCTTTTTTTCTTCCTTTAGAAATCTTAAAGACTCTGACAAGCAACCATTTATGGATGTGGCAGAAAAATTACGCAAAACCCATAAGCAGGATCATCCGGACTATAAATATCAGCCACGAAGGAAAAAAGGACGTAGCCTTACGTCCAGTGCAGTGCAATGCAACAGCGATGGCCTAAAAACGGAAGCATCTGTTACGGCAATGATAAATGGTGCTTCGGTCATACCCAACAACAGCAACAAGAGCCACACCAATAGCTCTACAGGAATAACAACAACAACAGAAACACAAACCAAATCAAATACAAATGGTCAGAACAGAAAACTGTCGACGGCAGCAGCAACCAACAGTCATTTGTCAGCAAAAACCATGGCAACAGCTGGAAGTCGGGTGAATGGCAACAAAGCCAATGGCAAACAACAAAGGAACCGTGAACAAATACAACAACAGCAGCAGCAACAGCAGATACTGCCACTGAATGGAAAATCTTCATCATTTGCCATGGATATTAATGAAACGTTAAAGAATTCCTGTAAAAATGTGTCATTGTTGACTCAAGGTCGTCTTTTGGGATCCAGTGGGGCAGATGAAAGTTCAGCAGATTTTCTATTTAGTCGTTATGATTACACTAAATCTTTGGATTCACCTGGTTCAACGAGTAGTTCATTGCTGTCGTGTGCCACCACACCCAATGATTCGCAACCCCTGACTCCACCAGCCACTCCATACTGCAATCAGCTGCAACGTTTCACTGGCCAACATCAGCAACAACGCCAGCCATCGAGAAATTTATTGCAGCAACAGGTTAGCGATGTTGCCGCTGGTGGTCTAAGTGAATATCAGCTACTTAACATTGAAGGACGTGAATTTATATCCTTGGATGAATATAACTATAATGCAGCAGGAGTGCCGGCAGCCAATAATGGAGGTGGTGCTCCTCTAGCAATAAATGTCGATATTCATGATGGAAATCATCAATATTCCTCCTCCCCCTCCTCCTATGCTCTGCAATTTTATGGCAATCAACAACAACAGCAGCAGCAACAAGAACAGAATAACCACCAACATAATTCTATGGAATTTCAAAATTATGGACATCTTGGTAGTTCAGCTGGCTATACATCGGTGTATCGCCACACAAATTGTGCTTCATCTCCTACGATGCACACCATTGAACCTTTAAATTATTTCAACATATCCACGCCACCGCCAGCCACAACAGCTCACTCTCCTCTACGTGCAACAACCACATCGCCCTTCGCCAAGACCCCCACTCACAGTGTGGGAATGCCCAAGATGATGGCGGCCACCACCACAACTGCTACTCTGAATGGACATGTACACCAGTATATGGCGCCATTTGTTGTTGCAACGGATATAACGTCGGAAGTTGCTGTTGGCAATGCCAACACTAATGAAGATGTTGAAACCAGCATTGAACAATATTTTATGGATCAAATAATGCCCATCGAGGCGGCTACAGCCACCAACATCAATGGCACAATGCAACAATCCAGCACCCCCTCCTCCGCTTCCCTTACGTCTGCCACAACGAACAAGACACCAACATCTGGAATTTCTTTGAATAATTCTGCAAAATCTCTCATGTATGCGGCAAAAATTTCACACTCCGATACACATGTGCTCGAGGAACATGCAATAGCTGCCAAAAAGTTATGTCTACCACCGACACCATCATCGAGCAATTCGGCCACATCCTGTTCATCATCTTCGCTGTCGCCAAACAAGTTTTCACCTACATCACCCACAGCCACTACTGTGGCAGATAATATGAATTGTTATTATATGTCAGCCCAGATGCAAGGTACAGCGGGAGCCTTAAGCTCACCTATGGGAGCAGGAACAATAACCACAGATGCACATGTCGACACAGCAATGGGACATTCTGTTAATGAAACTGATTTCCCCAACCTCTATGGCCACCATGGAAATGTGCAACACAGTCATCAACACCAGCACCAGCAACAACAACACCAACTCGAACACCATCTTTCGTCCCACACCATGTCAAGTCTTTCAGTCAGCCATCACCATCTCCAGCAACATCATCAACAAGACCAACAGCAGCAGCAACAACAGCACCTCCATCATCATCAACAGCAGCTCTTGCAGTGGAATGCTACTTATAATGTATAAAAAAAAGACATAACATTTAATTAGTTCTTAACAATATTTACTTAGCTTGGCTAATGAAATGACAAAAACAACTCTATGGTATACTATAGGCAAGGATAATAGCCCATATTTTTTGTTCTTAGCGATAGACAGACAGTATTTTTAAGCCTATCCGATAATTGGATTGTCCTATTACCGTATGCAATTTAAGTGGTGGCTTTTAAAACACATTGCTTCTTTTTTATTGCAATAAAGCAATAATTAAATATTTTCGTATTATTAATTTTATATAAACAATATAGTTGGAATGAAATAAAATAAAAAATTATACAAATTAATAAAACATGATTTGAATTGAAAAAAAAAAAAAAAACAGTAAAGAAAGTCTTAAAGTCGGGCGGGGCCGACTTTATGATACCCTACACCACTTTGCTAATTTAGTAGAGCTCCGCATAACAATTAAAAGTTTTTTTATGGGAGAATTCAATCATACACGCTATGATTATAATTATAGTTTAAAGTTCAAAGGACTAAATATGCCGAAGCATTTGCATCTTTTAAATTCGGACTTATATTGCCCATTTGGTGCACAATTAATTTGAAATCAGATAAAGATATATATGGGAGCTATATCCAAATCGGAACTGATCTCGATAAAATTTGGCTAAGATATTTGATATATTTCCCTGAATATCGTTGTTACGGAGTACATATTACGGCTGTGGGTAAAAAATATAACAAATCGGAGGAACAGTATACATGGGGGCTATAGCTATATCTGAACCGATTTCGATCAAAGTTGGCATACTTATTTTCGTATGTGCAAAATTCCATACTATTCGGGCTGATATTACACGTTTGGTGCACAATAAAAGGCAAATCGGACGAAGATATATATGGGAGCAATATCTAAATTTTACTGATTATCTCCAATTTCAATAGGGTTCGTCCTTGGGTCAAACAAATGATTTGTGCAAAATTTCATCTGGATAGGGCAATAAATGCGAACTGTACTTTGTTTACAAAAATACATGGACAGACGGACGGACGGACCGACATGCATAAATCGACTCAGAATGTGATTCTATGCAGATCATCAAAAAGAACTATGGGTCTATCTCGTTTCCTTTTGCCTGTTACAAACAAATGCACAAAGACATAATACCCTGACCACCTGTGGTTTGGGTATAACAAGTAAAACAACGTTAAGCCCGACCGGGTCGAACTCCAGTTATGTCCAGGTTTTCGTACAGAAATGGTAATAGATTCCACGTTTTCCCATAGTCACCAAATAACGGGTCCTTAAATTATTTAGCATTTCGAAGATTTAAGCCACATTTTTCAAAAGGCAGTGTTTCAAATTGTATGGTAGATACTAACCACTGTAGCAAACAATTGACTACATAATTTCACGTTTTCCTATAGCCCCCATGTACAGTGGTCGAGGTCCCCCCCATGCACAGTGGTCGAGGTCGTATGGGAACAGCGGCCAAAAATACTTTCAGTGCAGATATCAATATGAATCTTTGGTTATGGTACATTGAGGGGATAAAAATAAAAAATGTGACAAAATGGATATGGTCGAGACATGTTTTGGCATGGTTCCCTTACAACGTACCTCCCGAATAAGGGTTATTTGCCCAATTTTCGTCACATTTCTACACTAGATTTTACGTTGTAAAGAGGTAAAAAATAGTCTTACTAAAAATTATTTGAAACGGCCCGCCTTCAGGTAGAGTCCCCCTGTAAAGGTACCTCCAAAAATAGAAGTATTTTTATAAAAAACAATTCCAAATTTGATTATATTTTTGTAAACAAAATAGACAATATTTTTGTAAACAAAAAAAAAATTCAATATATAATTAAATCAAAGTTACTAATGGGTATATATATATATATATATATATATATATATATATATATATATATATATATATATATATATATATATATATATATATAAATTTCAGTGTTATTCAACTAAATCAAATGAAGATTTTAATAATATATATATTTTATTGCTTGGTAACGTTCGCTGTCCCGTTATAAAAGGTCAGAGCTCAGAAGAAGACTGTTAATAATATCTGTGTTTGTTGAAACACGAGAATTTTTTCGGGTATGATTTAGTCGAAACTTTTTTATATCTTTTTGCCAGACTTCGCGGCCTCCCTATAATTCTCCAATCGATACAATGACATATTTTATAATATCGGGAGCATGTATAACATTTTATGAACTGTGGATAGTGTCATGGATATCTATTTGTTAACTCTTTAGCAGTTTCCAGTGTAAAGTTCTTACATTTTTCGACATTAAAATGGCATCCTTGTAATAATATTGAACACCTCTCATTTACATCTTTATCAATCCAAACAACAAAAACATATTCTATGTCATTAGCACCATAGAATTGACAAATCTGACAAAATCTGAAAGTTAAATTAGCACTTCAATAATCTTAGGACCATTACTAATGGCGCGAGAAAAGTCACATTGGAGGATTCAGGGGGGAAAAGAATTAAAACTAAAAGAAAGAAAAGAATTAAAATTAAAAAATTAAAACTGAAATCCATTTTTTTTTCTTCAAAATTAATCTTAGAACACTCAGAACACTCACATCGTCTATATTATACCCAAATATTAAACACACAAATTACTGCACTAAAAATAAGTCAATACCTTGCTTTTCAATAATTATACCAAGATTTGTCATTTTAAAATGTATTTAATTTTGTAATACAGACCTATTTTTACTCCACTTTTTCACTGATCACACTGAAAAAAGCAACTAACTACATTTTCTCTTTTTTGGTGCTATTCTAGAAGTGGGCCGTTAGAATGAAGCCAAGATTATTATGTTTTCTAAAAAGCGTTCACGAGTTCATGTGTACACATTTGATAATTAATATCTGATTTTCATATTTTTAATTTTGGCCAATGACAGCGACCACCGTGCCATGTAACGGCAATCCCTATATTCAGCATTCTTATGATTTTAATCACTATTGTTAAAACTCTATGTTTGTCTTTGTTTAAAATGCTATATATGGAATTCACATGTGCTGACGAAAAATTGTCTATATAGGTGGACTCTTTTCTATATCTCCCATTTTAATATAAGCTATTTTTCCTCTTTAATAAATAGATCACAAAACGTAGACAAAAATCCCGAAAGGTAGATATTTAAGGAGTTATGGCCATTTTAAAAAATGTTTTTTCCCTTTAATAAACTGATCACAAAACAGAGTTAAAAACCCCGAAATGTCAATATCTAAGGAGTTAAGGTCATTTTAAAATATGCTATATTTCCTCTTTAATAAACTGATCACAAAACAGGCCTTTTTAGTATATGCTATTTTTTCCTCTTTAACAAGCTGATCACAAAATATAGTCGAAAAGTCAATATTTATGGAGTTATGGCCATTTTAAAGTATGCAATTATTCCTATTTAGTAAATAGATTACAAAACATATCTAAAAGCCACAAAATGTCAATATTTAAAGAGGTATGACCCGTTTAAAATATTCTATTTTCCTCTTTAATAAACTGATCACCAAAAATAGCTGAAAATCCCGAAATGTCAATATTCAAGGAGCTATGGCCGTTTTAAAATCTTGCATTTTTTCCTCTTTCAAAAGGTGATCATAAATTATAGGTAAAAACCACGAAATGTCAATATTTAAAGAGATATGGCATCTTTTACTGGTCACCAAACATATCTAAAAACGCCGAAATGTCAATATTTAGGGAGTTATGGTCATTTTAAAATAAGTTTTTTATAGCCTGCACCATTCTATGGAGGATTTATTAACTTTGTCATTTAATATTTATAATAGACCCTACAAAATGGATATATTCTGGACCAATGTAAAATTCTAAGACGATCTAGCGATGTCCGTCTGTCTGTACGAAGGCTTTACCAGTAGACAGGTTTAGTTCGTAAATTGACCATGTCGGACCACGTTTTCGTATGGCCTCCATAGAACGGTACCCCCGATATTCGGAATCGGAATTGTAACAAATTTCGTATTTGTAGTTTGTTAAGGGGTACAGCCTATGACAAAAAAATTCGTATGTAGGTTCACGTTTTCGTATATCCCCCAAATAAAGATATTCGTCCCGATATACGGTATTTTGATAATTTTAGCGACATTATTCACCGGAATTGTTTCAAATTTGGTATTTGAAGTTCGTAATGGGTATTACAGCCTATGACAAAATTTCGTAAGCAGGTCCACGACTTCAAGTTTTTGAAAAATTTGGAAAGTTCCTTCCAAATGTTTGGCCCGGCCGAACTTACCTGCTTTTTTACTTGTTCTTTATATAAATAGATCACAAAACATGGCTTAAAATGCCTAAATATCCATATTTAAACAATTTTGGTAATTTTGAAATATGCAAGTTTGCTTTTTAATAAAATTGGTATTAAAACAGTGTGATTTTAGTACCAAAGAATTTTCAAGGAATATTAAAAAATAATCTTTTCAATTAAATGACTAATTATACCCTACACCACATAGTGGTAAGGTTATTATGTCTTTGTGCATTTGTTTGTAACAGGCAAAAGGAAACGAAATAAACCCATAGTTACTTTCTGAGTTTATTTATGCATGTCAGTCCGTCTGTCCGTCCGTCCGTACGTCTGTCCATGTATTCTTGTGAACAAAATGCAGGTCGCATTTATTATCCGATTGAGATGGAATTTTCCAAACAACATTTGTTTGGCCCAAGGACGAATCCTATTGAAATTTGAGATAATCGGTAAAAATTTAGATATAGCTCCCATATATATCTTCGTCCGATTTGCCTTTTATTGTGCACCAAACGTGTAATATCAGCCCGAATAGTATGGAATTTTGCACATACAACCAAAATAGGCATGAAAATAAGTATGCCAAATTTGATCGAAATCGCTTCAGATATAGCTATAGCTCCCATATATATTTTTTATCCGATTTGTTATACTTGTCCTCCGCAGGCATAATATGCACCCTGTAACAACAATATTTGAGGAAATATATCAAATATAGCTCAGAAATACCTTCGCTAAATTTTATCGAGATTTGGATATAGCTCCCCTATATATCTTCGTCCGATTTGCCTTTTATTGTGCATCAAACGTGTAATATCAGCCCGAATAGTATGGAATTTTGCACTTACGACCGAATTGAGTCTAGAAGATAGTAAGCCAAATTTGGTGAAGATCGGTTCAGATATAGCTATAGCTCCCATATATATTGTTCATTCGATTTGTTGTATTTGTTACCCACAACCGTAATATGCACTCCGTAACAACGATA